CGTGCAGAAGATCATTTACGACAAAATTGGCATGTTTTTAGATAGTCCAAAAAGAGTTTTATGACAAGCCGGCGCTTTGCGACAATATGAGTGGGCAAGTTCCGGACAGAAAACCGATCTGTAGAGACTCGTCGTCGGAGATTTTTTTTTTTTTTTTTGGGAAAAGACGAAAACTAATGCGCGCGTGGATGTCATCCATACAATTAAGTCGGTGTGGCCTAACCAAACTTAAAATCCTGATTGACACTAAACACTATTTACTAGAAATAAATCTTTGATATGTCTTTGGATAGGTTTCAAAATGGCCGACTGGTATTGAAGCTTTACATATACATCATGTCACACATGCATATTTATTCATTTGGTTTTCTCATTCAAGATGGTTGAATTGCGATTGTTTTAATGTTAAAAATTCATCAAAATTCCGGATCTGGATCTCAATCATGCATAGACAGATTTTGTTAAAACTTTATTTGTACATTGAACTTTATAATACCTTAATGATCGCCACTTTGTTTGTCAGATTGGACACAAAATGACCAACTTGAGGCCATTTTGTTTTAGTGAATGCAGTTTTGGAGCCATATCTCTGACATTCTCTGACTGTTTGTTAAAATTTTATATATTACTTAAACTTGAAAATTCACAGGGACTATTATTGCAATTTCTTTTTTTTTGCTATGAATTAATTGAAAATAAAATTTTGCAAATAATTTCCAGTTCTACAGTATGTGAAATTAAATAAATACATGTGTTTTTCTGTTTATCTAGGATTCTGAGTTGTCTTCGCAGCATGTATTGTTTTCAGTGTTTTGTGGTTTATTGGTTTCCCTCAGTTACCATCTCAGTAGAAGTACATCAGATTTTACAGTGTTATGGTAAGAAATATTTGTGGCAATGATATGTAAATGATATGTAAATGATATGTAAATGATATGTAAATGTCACTGGTGTCTATTCATCAGTGGGTCTTCAGTGAGTGACCATGTGATATGTAAATGTCACTGGTGTCTATTCATCAGTGGGTCTTCAGTGAGTGACCATGTGATATGTAAATGTCACTGGTGTCTATTCATCAGTGGGTCTTCAGTGAGTGACCATGTGATATGTAAATGTCACTGGTGTCTATTCATCAGTGGGTCTTCAGTGAGTGACCATGTGATATGTAAATGTCACTGGTGTCTATTCATCAGTGGGTCTTCAGTGAGTGACCATGTGATATGTAAATGTCACTGGTGTCTATTCATCAGTGGGTCTTCAGTGAGTGACCATGTGATATGTAAATGTCACTGGTGTCTATTCATCAGTGGGTCTTCAGTGAGTGACCATGTGATATGTAAATGTCACTGGTGTCTATTCATCAGTGGGTCTTCAGTGAGTGACCATGTGATATGTAAATGTCACTGGTGTCTATTCATCAGTGGGTCTTCAGTGAGTGACCATGTGATATGTAAATGTCACTGGTGTCTATTCATCAGTGGGTCTTCAGTGAGTG